CGGGGCGGGGGCGGGTCCGGGGCTCGGCGTGCGGGGAGCGGGAGGAGGGCGGCGGGGAGACGCCCCTGGAGACCCGTGAGCGGGTCCCCTCTGCCTTGTCTCAGGTACCTGATCGCATCTCTTCGCTAGAGAGAGAAGAGCGTGGGTGGTGGAAGGAGGGGTCCCCCCTCCCCTTGGTAATCAGTATCTTCCTGATCTGGGGCAGGTCGCTTCGTCCTGTGAAATGGAGAAGAGACCCCAGCGTCAGGGTTACTGTGAAGGTTAAGTGAGAGTTTAGGAAAGGAGGCGCTCAGGAGTTAGGAAGTGCCTGGCTTTGCCTTGGGATATGACTGTTCAGAAGACACGGGTATTATTGTTATTTAACCAGCCGGAGGAGTTAAGGCTGAGACTGCCTTGCAAATGTGTTTTATAAGCACGATTGGTCCTTCAAACAGAATAAGAGGTGGGAGAACCCAGGAGAAAGAAGGCGAGCCTGGTCGGGGGTGTCCTCTAGGCCTGGGAGAGGGCGCTGGGGCCGGGAAGTGGTCCAGGAGGCAGGCGCAGGCTTTTGTGAAAGCCATTTGGTTGAGTGCCCAGCAGGAAGCCTGACCGAGGGGCAGGGAATGGAGTCTGGAAAAGCTGACCATTGCTGGGGACACCTGAGACTGGCGGAGAAATAAAGGCGGCCCTGGCCAGTGTGGCTCGGTTGGTTGGAGCATCGGCCAGTCCACCAAACGGTTTCAGGCTCGATTCCAGATCAGAGCACATACCTAGGTTGCAGGTTCGATCCCCACTTGGGGCGCATGGGGAGGCAACTGATTGGTGTTTCTCATGTCAATGTTTCTCTCTCTCCCTAAAATCAATAAACGTACCCTCAGGTGTGGATTTAAAAAAACATTATCCGTGAACATGAAGACTGAGTTAGTATTTTAACAGCAGAAGGGTATTTTTGCCTTACAGTTGGAAGGATCTGTGCCCTAGCCTAGTTCAGTGGTTGGCGTGTTCACCCGCGGACTAAAGGGTCTCGGGTTCCATTCCAGTCAAGGGCACACACGGGTGCAGGCTCAGTCCCTGGCCCTGGCCGGGATTCGTGCAGGAAGCAGCCAATCGATGCATCTCTCTCACATCACGTTTCTCTCTCTCTCCCTCTGTCTCTCCCCCTCCCTTCCACTCTCTCTAAAAAAAATCAGTGGAAGAAGTATCCTCTGGGGAGGATTAACAACAACACGAAGGAAGAGTTTGTAGTCATGGCTGGATTGGCCACTTCGTTTTTAGTCATCTCTTAGCAGCACCAAACCAATCATTAGAGAATATCGGCAGCAAACACAAGTAAAGCCGGAGCTGTCAGTGTAGAATAACGCAAATGTCATGGTTTATTCTGGAACACTGTGTTGAACTGGCACTGATGGTGCAAAAGCAGAACTGACTAAAACTACCGGCGTCTTGACACAAATCAAGGCCACGGTATCGAACTACCAGTAGACGCGCTCTTCTTCACCTGCTTTCAATAAAAGAGGAAAAATTGCCAGCTTTACTTAAGAACGCCCTTTATGAAACAGTAAAAATGATGAATTTTGTTAAACCTTGACCCTGGAGGGCACATCCTTTTAGTATGCCACGTGATGAATGGGTGCACTTGTTCCGTATTAGAGGGCCATGGCTGTCTTGAGGTAAAGCATTTGTGATTGGGTCGTGAACTGAACTGGCCACTTTTTTTCCATAGAGACCTCTTTGTGCTTTAAAGGATAACAAATAAACTGTGGTTATTCATACCTGGATAACTGGGATACATTTCCTTTAAAAAATGAATCAAGTGAACCTGTAACTTAACGAAAAAACTTGTATCCACCACCATGAGCCTGATCCCTTCTCAGCACTTTGGAATTTTCTGATGAGATCAGTGGTAATATTAACCAGTATGACTTTGATACTGTCTAGTGCAGTATGTTCACATTGGGGGGCTCTGCATAAATCACGGAACCAATATTTTCCAAAAGACCAATGCATGAAATTACAAAACCATGTAGGGGTAAAAAAAAAAAAATCCACTCAAAGCATTAGACAGACCAGTGGGTTTTAATGTAACAGGGCCCGAAAGGTTCATTGATATGGCCTCAAGTTCTGCATGGCAACTAACCTTTAAGAAACTCCTATGTATTGAGTTTTAGATATAAAAAATTAGTATAGGCTTTTAAAATAGCTCTCCCTTTCCCCACTACTTTGTTGTGTGAGTTTTTATTTTCTTCAAACACTTCAATCAAAGCAACAAACAGATCGAGTGCAAAAGCAGATGTGAGAATCCAGCTGTTTTCTGTTAAGGCAGATGTCAGATGTGCCAAATGTAAACAGTGGCACTCTTTTTGTTTTGGAAAATTTAGTTACTTTCACAAAATATGCTTATGTTAACATATTATTTGGTTTTACATGAATTAAGGTGTCAAACATTACTTAGTTTTGCTTTCTAATGCAGCAGACATTCTTAGATATAACCCACATAAACAAAAGCCCTTTGCTGTCCTCAATTTTTAAGAGTACAAAGGAGTCCTAAGGCCAGAAAACTTGAGAACTGATGCCTTAAGAGTATTAACTTGAACTTGGCAGTAGAAAAGCTGTATGCTGTAGCTCTGGTAAGGTGGTTCAGTTGGTTGGAGCCTCACCCCCTGCACCAAAATTTTGCAGGTTCAATTCCCAGTCAGGGCACATACCTGGGTTGCGGGTCCGATCCCCAGTTGGGGTGTGTGTGGGAGGCAACTGATCAATGTTTCTCACATTGATGTTTCTCTCTTCCTTCCTCTGTCTCTATAAAATCAATTTTAAAAACCATTAAAAAAAAAAAAAAGCTCTATGCTGTAGATGGTTGGAAGTGTTTTGCTTTGCTTTTGTTTTTAAAGCCCATGCACTGTTAATCAAAGCAATCCCATAGTATGGACAATAGTGCTACTTGGTGGTTAAGGCTTGGGTTCAGGAGGGGGGTGGCTGCTGTGGTTAAATTCAATACTGGAGTAAAGCACTCGGTACCTAAGGCACATAGTGGGCATCAAATGTTAGCTATTAATAGTAGTGAAATAGGAAGAAGCAAATCCATTATGAGTTGTCCACATTGTTACACTAAACTGCTTTATATTCAATTAGGAACTTGTGTCTCCTTGGTACTTTCCCTTTATGGGGAAGGAAAAGATGAATGGAGTTGTACCTATTTCATATCTTCAGGGTTTGCCTTTTCCCTGACTGCAGTCTCCTCAACCTCCAAACAAACAAACAAACAAAAAAACCTTTTCAATTCTGGCCATTTATTTTGTTTTTGGAATTGAGAATTGTCTTGGAGTTTCAAGTGTTCCGGTAGATCTAGCCTCCTCTTGGCTTCCTCATGATCCCCTTGAACTTGCTGAAATCAGTGACTTTGAGAATCAGAGTTCTTACCTGGTCTCAGGTGTCAACACTGGTCGCAGGGAGGATCTCCCAAAGGTCTCCAGAGGGGTGCTTGAGGAGAAGCTCGGGCCTTTCCTGTAACATGGCGTACCCTGGGTGTCTCCCTTCCAGGCCTGACCCTGAGCATGGAGCCAGAGATGTGCCCGCGGAGGGTTCCCTCCTGCTTGTTTGGGAAAGTAGCTGGGCTGAAGGGCCATATCTGATACTGGGGACCTGGTGGGCCAAGCCATGGATCTGGCAGAAGTCCCTGGGGCCCTACCCACCTTATTTTGGTATCCTAAAGAACTAAACCACCACAGCTCAGAAGAGGGTGTTAAAGCATGTGTTTTTTGAAGATTGTATCATTTTTTCTATAATTTGGACTTTAGGGATTACAAGAAAGCTGCTACCTCTGGCGCTTTAATTTAGAATTACTGTTATCTACTCAAGGCACTGAGATGAGTGTGGCAATAGGCTAAATCCAGATCTTAAACTGGAAATGTCTCCAACTGTGGTCACCTCCTCCTTTTGTGGTGTACAGTATAAGAAGGTTGAGATCTGGGTTGTCTCTTTTGAGGCGCTGGGGCACCAGAGTCGGCTCTGAAGGTTTACCTGCCAGTTCTGAAAGTCTTACAGCTGAGGGAGGTGGGGGCCACAGGGCTGTGTGCAGAGTGCGACAGGCCCGACGCCAGCGGGTGGGAAGTTCGCTGTCAGGGCCCGCAGAGCAAGCTGCGCACTCTGATCTTCTCTGGTGACATGCTTGCCTGGGCGGTGGGCGGAATGGGGGAAATGGAAGCCCTGTGTGCATTGTCCAGCCTCAATCCATGTGTGACTGGACCATCCTGACCTCCTAGAGCTGATTTCATGGTCAGTCAGAGATGAAGCTGAGGAAGAGGAGAAGAAGCCAGACTGGAATAAAATGTACATGATCTGGGAAGAAAGGAGAAAATGGTTTTTCTGAATGATCCTTTCCAAAGGGATGGCACTCAGACAGGAATTAGCCGCAGCTTACCGGACATTCCTGGGAGCCTTTTTATTCTTATCATCTGCTTTTCTAGTCTGGTTCATTCCCAAGGTACCATCTGAGTGTTTCGGGGCGCTGTGTTGTTTAACCTGGGCCTGTTTGTGCTCTCTGATGCTGCATGGACAGGTTGGTAACAGTTGTTACGCGTTAAAGCTTTCTCTAGGATCCACGGGCCTGGTGCTTCTGGTGTGTGTGCTCGCTCTATATAGAGCAACGTTGGGGTGACATTAGAGCCCAGTTGATGTCAACATTGTGCAATTCCAATTCCAAATCTCCGTACAGCCTTTGTTTGCCTGCACTTTGCATGAGGGATGGTTTATCCTCTTTTCACAGGGTCTTGCTCCCGGTAGGCTCTTGACTGGCACACTCAGCAGTCTCTTGAGTTTAGTTCATAAATTCAAAGCACAGCTTTGCTCATGAGCTGACAATCTTTTTTTTTCTTTTTTTCATTTATTATTATTATTATTTTTTTTTACATATGTCTTTATTGATTTCAGAGAGAGGAAGGAAGAGGGAGAGAGAGAGACAGAAACATCAGTGATGAGAGAGTCATTGATCGGCTGCCTTCTGCATGCCGCCGACTGGGGATTGAGCCCGCAACCCGGCATGTGCCCTGACCGGGAATCGAACTGTGATCTCCTGGATCCTAGGCCTACACGCAACCACTGAGCCACGCCAAGCTGGGCATGAGCTGACAATCTTAACGTTAATTTGGGTTAAAATTTTGTTGTGAGGGTTTGGGGAATATAGGTTACCTAATGAACTCTGCTCCTTTTTGCTTACAGGGTATTTGAAGAGAAAATGCCAGGCATTAGGATGCTGCGGCAAGCTGTGGGCCAGGTGCTGCAGAGCCCCGCCTGTGGCTGTGGGACGGCTGCTCTGCCTGGCCGGGTCCTGGGCACCTCCTCTTGGCAAATTCCAGCAGATGCCGACTTCCACTCTGTCTCTTTCTCTGAAACAGACCTGCCACGGGTCTTAATTACAGGTTGAGTTTGTGGCTTGATTATTTTATTTTCTGTGCAGCTTGTGTATTTGTTTTTGGAATGTCTGACATGCTATCAGCTAACATTTATTAGTCACAAACCACCTTTTCCACTCTTGGCTTCCTCCAGACTATTCCAAGTCTCAAATCTTTATTTCATCACTGTTGCCAACTCTTGGTTTCCGTGCCATAATTTAAAAAAAAAATTTTTTTTAAATATATCTTTATTGATGTCAGAGAGAGGAAGGGAGAGGGGGAGAGAGAGAGAGATAGAAACATCAATGATGAGAGAGTTGTCATTGATCGGCTGCCTCCTGAACGCCCCCCACTGGGGATCGAGCCCACAACCCGAGCATGTGCCCTGACCGGGAATCGAACCCGTGACCTCTTGGTGCATGGGCCGACACCCAGCCAACTGAGCCACACCGGCCAGGCGTTGTCGATTTTAATGCCTCCTTGTCAATTCAGTTATCTACCCTTCTTTTCAGATGGCTTCTTGCTTTGTCCCCCCTCTTTCTCCTTTCACATCACGTTCCCATTGTGATGGAGGATGGGGTTCTGGAAAATCCCACCAGAGGCTGAGACAAACTATTATATTTGTCTTTGAGTATTTTGGCATCTGTAGCAGACAAGCTTCGGAGCCCATTGAATAACGACGGCAAGGCTTGCAGAGAATTCCTGGCCCGAGGAGCTTGGAGGTTGTCCAGCTTTCTTGTGATTTTTCTCTTGCTGTGCCCTTTCTTCCCTTCCGTCACTATGCTGGAGAGAGCTTTGTCTCTGAAACTGATATTACCTGTATTGATTTCTGTCCTCGCTTGGAGGAGGTAATTCAATTCTCTCTGGCTAACCTGGGGCTTTGCCTAATTAGATAAAATTATAAGTATAATCTTATTCCAGTATTACATTCTGGGAATAATTGCATTGGTTAGATTTGGATTAAAGTTTTACTTTTCCCCCTTTCATCTAGGGGGTCTTGGCCAGCTTGGAGTGGGGCTTGCTAACTTGTTGAGGTAAGAGCCCTAAAAGTTGCAATTTAAAATCTTAGTTCTTCAGTATGGGAAGTTTGTCTTTGATACCATCTAACCGTTTAATCTTTTCTCTCCCCTCTTGCCCCTTCCTAGTTTTAAGATACTATGTGTAAAGTGGCTGTTTAGAATACATTTCATTTTGCCTCTTAATACAGACACTGTGGCAGGTCTTTGACTCAACATCTCCCACACTGGCCCTTTGCCCCCTCCCTTTTCTCATTTGGACAGAATAAGACATGTAACTCCAAATTAATCCCTTGATTTTTAGGTGTTTGGGGGCAGAGGATGCGCATGTAGAAACTGACAAGGAATAGTGTGGGATTTGGAGAGAGTGGGATGAAAGGGTAAGAGCAGGAGAGAACAATGAGAAGGGAGGGGTAAAAACTTAGGGGTATAGAGGAGGCATTGGTGGCAGATATAGAGATGATAATGGGGTGAGAGCAGGAACAGAAGTTGGGGCAGTGAAAAGGGAGAGGGAGGCCTGAGTGTGGTCAGAACCAAAGGTCGTATGTGTATTTGGGAAAAAGAAGTAGAAAAGGCATGTTTTGGAGGGATTCAGAGGCTGACCAGAAGTTACAATTCCTATTTGAAAGATTGTTTTCATAGAACCAATTATACCCTACCTGTACCAACTCATGGGCATTGATTTTTTCCCTTTAGGAAATGATTTGGGAAGGACAATGTGATTTTGTCTGACATAAGGAAACCCTCTGATCCCGTGTTCCATAGTGGTGAGAGATCATTGCTTTTGTTTTTATCTTTAATTTCCAAAGTGGGGTTCGAGGAGCAGCTCATGGAATCAGTGTGCGCAACAGCTCATAACCGGGCTTGTGAATTAAAGGAGAAGCTCTTGAAGCACAGACTGTCACTTAAAAATATTTCATATTTTCATCCTCGGTAGTTCTGTAAGAGGTCTATGGTATTGCTGCTGCTTGCTCAAGTGTGACACGGACAGGAGAGTTCTTCTGAGGGTGAAGTAAAATTTTGGAATAATATCTTTGGCTATCACGCGGAGTAGTATCTTTGGAATAAAAACTTTGATCTTATCTTTTTGAGGTTTTAGTTAACTTCTTGTCTCAGAGAGCAAGCAAACAAAAATCAAATCCTGTAATGATTAAAAGGAACTTCAAAAATGCGGAGAAATTAATCCTCATATTTCAATATAGACTTGCTCTTAAACTGTGTACACACACACACACACACACACACACACAAATCCCAAGCTCCTAGTCAAGTTTTCTCCTAACTCAGAAATGATTTTCTAACATCTTCTAGTCCTTTTTGGTTCAGTATCATCCTTTTGCTGCTTATCACGCTGGGGAAGTGTGGTAATTTGCTATAAGTGGGAAAAATTGGCATTGAACAAAATCGGCTCTACCTCTAAATTAAGCAGGTATGATAAACTCATGATTTGTGGTTCTTTTATACCAGCAATTTTCAACCTTTTTCATCTCATGGCACATAAACTAATTACTAAAATTCTGCAACACACCAAAACATTTATTTTTTGCTGATCTGACAGACAAAAAAAAAGGTCTAATTTGGTTCATTCACACTGGACAGCTATTGCATTGGCCGCTATCATTTTTTTTATTTGACAATATAAGGGGAAAGAGGCCAGTGCCCCTGGCTAAATAGTCAGGTATTGCATGTTTTTAAAATTTTTGTGGTATACCAGTTGAAAATTTCTATTCTATCCCATGGTGTTTTGTTTTATTTTTTAAAACCCATTTCTCTCTTCCTGTCCAAATATGTAGTTTTTAAGCAGAGTATATAATCACTCTGCCTATAGGGTTGGTGTAAGCAGCACTGACTGGAGCCAGCTGCCCGGGTCTGACTGTATTTCTTCTACTTACTCTCTGTTTGATCCTGGCAAGTTCTTAACCTCTCTATGCCTGTTTCCTCATCAGTAAAATGTAGAAGGCCATGTGTGAGCTAAATGTACAGAAAGCTCTTAGAACAGTGCCTGCAAGCCTGTCCTGTATAAGGAGCAGCTATTATCAACTGTGAGGCTGTTACAGTTGGCGACTCTTCCATAAGAAAATGCTGAATAATGCCCAGGTGGTTCCCTTACAAAGCTGGTATTAATGGAATTCACAAGTCAGGGGTTGGAGAGGACCATTTAGCTTTTCAAACCCCAAACTTTCCTCTTCTGTGGTTTCGCCTTGTTCCTTGTAGGCCCATTTACTTATTCTGACATTCTGGATTATAAGAATCTTCGAGAGATTGTGGTAAATCACCGCATCACCTGGCTGTTTCATTATAGCGCTTTGCTCAGTGCAGCGGGAGAAGCAAACGTGTCCTTGGCAAGAGCCGTAAATATCACTGGTAAGTCTCTGGATCGTGCCCCAAATGACCTGTTTGTCAATTTTCCCAGCCCTTCAGTGAGACATTTTTCAGACTGTGGTACTGTCTGTTGGTTTCAGGGTTGCATAATGTTCTGGACGTCGCCGTGGAACACAATCTGCGATTGTTTGTGCCCAGCACGATTGGAGCTTTTGGACCCACTTCTCCCCGGAACCCGACCCCGGATCTCTGCACTCAGAGACCCAGGACCATCTACGGGGTATCCAAGGTCCACGCCGAGCTCATGGGAGAAGTACGCGTGGCTTGGCCAGATGACTCAGTGTCTCCTTTTCTATTCTTTTGCTTCAAACACTTTTTGATTTATCCTTGGGGGGACTTCCCCTTCCCTCACCCCAACCCCCAGGAATGCTCATAAACTGATTGTCTGCCAAGTGACAGGCACAGATGGCTCCAGAATAGGCCTCAGCCCTCAGCAAGGTGCCACTCAACACTTCCCTGAGGCCCCTCAAATGGCATTTGCTGCCCATTTTATTGGATCCATTCTTTTCCCATTATTGGTAGTTATTGGTGGTAGCTTTAAATAATTTTATCTTTTAAATCCTCACCCGAGGATATGTTTTTATTGATTTTAGAGAGGAAGGGAGAGAGAGAGAAACATTGATGTGAGAGGGAAACATTCATTGGTAGCCTGTCGTATGCGCCCCAACCAGGGATTGAACCCATAACCTTTTGGTGTACGGGACAGCACCCCAACCAACTGAGCCACCCAGGGCTGGTTATATTTTTTTATACCCTTTGTCTTTATAACTCTATAGCAGATTTTAGTTGGTGTCTGATCCTTCAGCTGATATGTCATAGTCATTGCTCCCTGGTTACCACTTTCCTCCCCTGTCCTCTTTCCGATGCTGCACTGCAGGGACCTGCTTGTGGAGAATTGTGTAGGGCAAGGAGCAGGACTCCCTCCCAAAGAAAGTTCGGAAATCCCTCCTGTGGGCTGAGTTATTATTTACTGTGTTGGTGTATCCCGAGAATGATGATTCTTTGAGATAAAAACTGAAGAGTTATTTATTAAAGAAAAATAAGTGTCTCTTAGAAATTCTAGAGTGTTTCTTTCCTTAAGGAGAATTTTAATACCACCGCATGGGATGACTGTTTCAGAAAAAAGGCTTTCTTTGTTATTTCTTTGTAGTGCTCTATCTGATTTAAAAGACTCTTTTTAAAGTAAGTTTTCTCTTTTTTTTAGTATTATTATTACCGGTATGGTTAGATTTCCGATGCCTGAGATATCCTGGCATCATTTCAGCTGACTCCCAGCCTGGAGGAGGAACAACTGGTAAGTGTTGTTTCCTATTTTTTTAATTTTTTTTTTGTCTGTGAGATAGGGAAGAGTGGCGATGAATCGGCTGTCTTTTTAGCCATATGCCTACTGCAGTTTCTACATCATCTCCAGGAAGTGCATCTGAGAAGCTCCTTGAACCCTATTGACTTACACCTGCTAAGGGCAGCTTACGCCGGTGTTGTAAATTCAGCTCAGGATCAGCCACTGGGTGCCCAGTGCTGCAATCAAACAGTTAATATTCGAGAACAAATTTATTAGCCACAGTGTAGGAAGACACCCAAATTAGAAATAGCCTCTCTCTTTGAACCCGGGCTTCATTTCTTAATACAGAAGGCGCTATTAAAATGGACTCTACACATTGCATATTTAAAGGGAACATAAGCATTATCATCATCATTATTATTATTAATTTGGACTCAAGCACACACTGTATTTCCTAACTCCTACATTAGAATAGAAATTCTTCCCATATGAGGGGTTCTGAGATACGGTATAAAAGATACTTGACCGTCTGGCCGGCATGGCTCAGTGGTTGAGCACTGACCTGTGAACCACAATTTGATTCCCAGCCAGGGCACATGCCCGAGTGTCAGGCTCGATCGCCAGTCAGGGGCGTGCAGGAGGCAGCTGATCAATGACTCTCATCATTGATATTTCTATCTCTCTCTCCCTCTCCCTTCCTCTCTGAAATCAGTAAAAACATTTAAAAAAAAAATACTTGAAAAATATGAGGGATTTAAAAAGAGGCTTTAGTTTTTGTTACTTTAAAAAAGCTTTTGTCTCGCCCTGGCTGGGTAGCCGAGTTAGGTTGGAGCATCATCCTGATATGTCAAGGTTGCGGGTTTGATTCTCAGGGCACATACAGGAATCAACCAATGAATGCATGGCTAGGTGGAACTACAAATTGATGTTAAAAAAATCATATTAAATAAAATAAAAACAATTAAAATAAAAAGTTTTTGCCTTAGTGTGGTGCTTCTCGAAGTACCACACTGGGAACGCCTGGGCATCCCTGAGATCTTTTCAAGGGGTCCAAGAGGTCAAAACTACTTTCATATCAATACTAAGCCATTATTTGCCTTTTCTACTCTCCAAGTGCCCTGTGGAGTTTTTCAGAGGCTGCATGATGTGCGATAGCACAGCAGACTGAATGCAGAAGCAGATAGGAGACTTCAGGTGTCTCCTATTAAGCCAGACAGCAGAGATTTTCAAAGCATAAAACATGCCAGTCTTCTCACTAAATTTTCTTTTGTTTGAAAAATACATGCTTTTTCATATAAAATGTAATACATATGAATATATAATGGCTTCTTATTGCCATTTTAAAATATAATATTTAAAAAAATTTCTCAGTTAATTTCTGATATAGTAAATATTGATATAATTCACATTAATAACATCTCATTGGGGGGCCCTCAGTGGTTTTAGAAGCATAGAGAAGTTCTAAGACTAAGACGTTTGAGACCCACTGCCTTGATCCAAGAGGCTCACTCACGATTTGTTCTAAGAAGATCCACAGAAAGGATTCTCTTTCAGACTACGCAGTCCAGATTTTCCATGATGCTGTAAAGAATGGCAAATTCGAGTGTTATCTGAAACCCAGCACGAGGCTGCCAATGATGTACATTGATGACTGCCTCAGGGCCACCCTGGAGGTCATGGAGGCCCCGGCAGAGTCCCTCTCCATGAGGACCTACAACATCAATGCCATGAGCTTCTGCCCCGAGGAACTGGCCCAGGAGCTTCTCAAGCACATACCGGAATTCCAGATCACGTACAACGTGGACTCTGTTCGACAGGACATAGGTTGGTACATAATTGCAAACCCCTCACACCCAAAATTAAGCTTCATCCTGCACTGTGGGTCCCTTAAGGACATAAGCTGTGGAGGAGAAGTAGAGCATGGAGCTTTCCCGAGGGTCCTGACACATTCTGGAGAAGAAGCTGTTGAGCCACAGTCCTCAGTGGCTGCAATTTTTGGAAATGATACCTAAAGTGGGTGGAATAGTTTCATTCCAGATAAACAGCTTGTCAACATTTCACCATTTTACAGTTTCAACATAAAACAAGCAGACATAGTATGAAAGCAGCTCTGGGTTTTCAAATGCTGTGACTATACCACTCTGTGTCCCCAAGCACCCTGGAATATAAGACTCCTACCTTAGAGTCTGCATGAGATTTTAAGTGTGTGACAATTCACAGTGCCTGACAGTGTGATGCAAGCTTCTAATCTAAGAGGGCCACTGTGTATGCGCCTAACAGCTGCTCTGGTCTGGTCAAAGGAAGACTTTCAAAGAGGGAATTTCTTCTGTACTACCTTGAATGATAGACCTTTGTATACAAAGTGTTCTAGACCTTTTTGCAACTCTAAAGCCTGAAGAACTTAAGCTACTTTTCTGTATTTCTTCCTAGCGGATAGGTGGCCAATGAACTTTGATGACAGCAATGCTCGGAAGGACTGGGGGTAGAAACATGATTTTGACCTTCCAGAGCTGATGACGACAATGTTGAACTTCCATGGTTCCAACAGTCGGGTTGCTCGAGCTAACTGAGGGACTCAAAATGAAGAGCTAGTGCATCCTGGACAGTTCTCAAGGGAAAACAGTAATGACCCCAAGGGACCTGGAGTATCCAGAGTCAAGGCCTAATTGGACTACATTTTAGCAGCTCATATTGAACTGCCGGGTGGAGAATCGAGTTGGCTCAATATGCTGTTGGTCTGGTGATAGAACTTCCAAATCCTTGCTGTTTGCCTAAACTTGCCCAAACACACATATCATAGAATGAAGACTTAAGTCATAATGATTTCCATTTCCTTAAATAAGATGAAGTGACTATTTCTGGGGAGGAGGAAGTATGTGAAGTTTGTGTTTAATTAAATTTAATTTAAATATCACTTCTAAGCCTCTCTTATTCTGTTGACTAGAGACCAAACATTATATTTTAGAGACCATATCGAAGATGAATCTCCTATTTAAAAGTACTCTTTACTATCTGATCAAAGCATAAAACATTTTATATACTTATTAATCCCATGTTCATAGTGTTCAAGAGATTTTAACACTTCAGAAATCATCACTTCTCATTTATTTTTCTGTAAGAAGGTGTATCTGTAGGGAATTAAGGATAACAAAGGCAATGTAACTAGTGGAAGGTAGCACCTCTCTTATTTTGATTGCCTTCCTATTAGTGAGCTAAGTGGTGATTAGCCAGAGTCTAATTCCCTTACCTGGCAATGTCAGTCTCCCAGCAGAGCTTGTCTAAATATACAGGTTTCTGGGCTCACCCCTTCAGGTTGACTCAATAAATGGGGATGGAGATCTAAGTGCCACCAGTTGTCCTATTGCAGCTCTGGCCCATTAGTTTAGACCAATTCCAAACACTATTTTCTAAAGAGAACTTTCTTGTTATAGCCTTTGTTTATACACTCTTCAGTTGAGGCTTCAGAAGAGCTACTCTCAAGCCTCTGAAGCCATTACTGTATAAATATATACAGTCTTACTTTTTTCCAGCTACCTCAGGATGTGCTATATGTGAAAGCTAGAAAGTGAAATTGCACAGATGAGGAAATTGCAACAGCTGTTGAGGATTAAAAGGCATTTGTATGGTATGCTTAATGACAATGCTATGTATTTGGAATTTTTAACTGCTAGGTAGACATTATTTTTTGGAGGCATAACTGGATTTAAAACCTATTTAACTTTTGACTGGAGAACTTATAGATAATTGATTTAATAGTTATGTTGATGTAGGATTTTTCCTATGTAATATAATTAAGCTTATATTTGTGCACTTTATTTTCTAAAACCAAACAGCTAGTAATGAGTTGGCTTTTCCCCACAACTTTATTGAGGTCTATTTCACATGCCATAAAATTTAGTGTACATATTTTTCAGCATGTCCACAGAGTTATGCAGCCATCACTATAAACTAATTTTCAACTACTTCAATATCCCACCAAGAAATAGCCTATTCGCCCTCCCCACCCTACGTAACCATTAATTTTCTTTCTGTGTCTGTGGATTTGTCTGTTCTGGACATTTTACATAAGTGGAATCATACAATACCTGGTCTTTTGTGAGTGGCTTTTTAAAGTTAACATTATGTTTTCAAGGTTCATCCACGTCATAGTATGTATCAGTGCTCCATTCACGTCATTGCTAAATGGCATTCCATTGTATGGACATTCACCACATTTTGTGTGTCCGTACATCAGTTGAGGGACGTTTAGCTGTTTGCACTTTTTTGTTATGAATCATGCTGTTATGAATATTTGTGTAGATAATTGGGTTTTGAAGCTCACTGATTTCTCATTGTTCACAGTTTGAAAAACAATTCTTAAGCTCTCTTAGTTTATTCTCAGTTATCTGAAAGGAACAGAAATTAACTTTTTCTTTCCATGAGAAGGGAAGAAGCAACTGACTTGAGGGACCCTTTCCCTTAGACTCTACTCTTCCAATGTTTCCACCAGGGTCCTTGGGTAACCTTGTAATCCAGACCCTTTGCAGGGACTTGTTCTAGAATGGCTATAGATTTTATAAATCTATAAATGCACCTCCAGGAGAACCTCAAAGAAGCATAAAAGGAAAATGAATGCTCTGAATTATATGGATCATTCTTACTCACTGACATCTTTGCATTCTAATTAAGACTAAAATTAGAGTCTCCCTTTCTATCTAAACACTTTCTATCTGGTGCACATCTTGGGATCCCAGGAGATGCCTCTGTGTTTTACCATAAAAAGCTTTCCTATGGCTAATTTAGGAACAATCTGAAGAAGGGGAAAGTGTAGGTTTAACCACAAAGACTTTTTTTTTTTAATTTTAAATAAGAAAAGGTAGAATACAAAGGTTGACTTTGCTCTGGTTTTTCATTTGAAGATTTACACAGACCTTAAATGTGGTTATTAGTTGTGCTCACATGTTTTCTGTGTGGCATTGGCATGTTGTACCTTTGTGTCGTCCCACAAACAGCACAGTCTAATGGCTGCCAGCAACTTATACTTTTTAAAATCCAGAAACAGGCCCTGGGCAACATATATTATTGCACTACTTTGGACACTTACTGTAAAGGGGGCGGATGCCAACAGAATTTTTGGACTCGATTAGGCCAGATTGAAATTGTTATTTTATTTTATGGTAAGAGCATGAGTGTCTTTTCTTTTTCTTTAAGATGTTTTTAAAATTAATTTTTAGAGAGGAAAGGAGAGAGAGAGAAACATTGATCAACTGCCTCCTGCATGCCCCCTACTGGGTATTGAGCCCACAACCCAGGTATGTGCCCTGACAGGGAATCGAACCAGAAACCTTTCGGTGCACAGGACAATGTCCAACCAACTGAGCCATACAGGTCAGGGCAAGGCATGAGTGTTTTCAAAAAATATTTAAAAATTTTTTCATTTAAAAATGTTTCTATTAAGAATTTAAACAATTAAAAAAATATACTGTATAATGAAAAAAATTGTCTTTTTCTTTAAACCCAATCAACTAATTTTAACAGTATAGTATATATTTATATTTCCTCCCTATGCTTATACAACACAGTATCAGATAATCAAAACTTTTTTTTTAACTATAAAAGTAGTGCTAAAACAAAATTGTCAAGTTTGGGAAAAGAATCATTTGCAATTTTTGTCACCTAACATATTACTAGCTGTTTTTTAATATTTCCACCCATTCTTCTCAGATGTGTTACAAGTAACTTAAATGTAGTTTTACTATGGATCATTTTTAAATAGATGCATAACAATCCATTGAATGGATGATTGTAATTATGTAATCAGTCCACTACTTAATTGCTTTACTTAGAACTGATGACCTTTCAGTGCATGGGACTGGTGCTCAACTAACTGAGCCACACCGGCCAGGGCATATTTTATATCTTACTGAAGAACTTATTTAGACTTTGCTAGACATAGATTTTTATCACTTTAGTATACATAAAAGAGAAGTAGTCAAATGCTTGTCTGGTATAATACCTAAAACTTCAGATCTGACTTTTCTGAGCCACTTTTTCACTCAGTTGTTATCTTTTTCTTCCACCTAGTGTTACTCTCTCAATTATTGTGTTGGGGATAGAGTGTTCCTTCTTTTTTTTTAAATATATCTTTATTGATTTCAGAGAGAGGAAGGGAGAGGGGGAGAGAGAGAGAGAAACATCAATGATGAGAGAGTCACTGATCGGCTGCCTCCTGTGTGCCCCCCACTGGGGTTCAAGCCCGCAACCCGGGCATGTGCCCCGATCAGGAATCGAACCGTGATCCCCTGGATCCTAGGTTGATGCTCAACTGCTGAGCCTCGCTGGCCAGGCAGAGTGTTTCTTAAAAGAATTCATAAAGACTAAAAATCATTGGTGCTATAAACCAGCTTTACAATAGACCAAGTTCATCTCCTTCTGACACCTGCCTCAGAAACGTGGCTAAATATATCAGATTCGCCCCAAACCTACAACTCTGGTTTCTAGAGAATAAAAAGCTGACCCCCACCCTGCAGGTTTCGGTGCTGTGCTTTGGATGGTGCCTGTGTAGGCGATGCCAACATTGTAACGATCGCTACCTGGTCAACAGCGATTATAAGATGCAGCCTGGTTTCAAAGATGTTAAAGGGTGGGGGATATGTGGTCTTCGCCCAGGAAGCTATGAATGGTTGCGTTCGTACCCACTGGAGCCCAAGGGCAGCCCCTGCCCTGCTCAGGCTGCCATTTGGAGGCTGAAGAGATGAAGGGGTTAGCTCTGCAATAGTTGGCCACCGTTGGGCTCACTACCTGCCTTTTTCATGGCTGGATGGGCTAACAGATAAGGCGGGCACCAGAGAAGTTGCTAAGGATGGCAGCGAAATGTCAGGATGTGTAAACCTATGGGGGAGGAGAGAAGATCAGATCTGAGCTGCCAAGAGCGCGCTTTGGTGAAAGAACAGGTTGTCCAATGTGGGGCAGGGAGGGTTAAGTCGCATTAGGGTCAGGGTCCCTAATATGAGTCATCCCCTTCATTCCATAAAATTTTAAGCAAAATTTTAATTTCCCATTAATGAAGTTGCAATATTTGGAGTGGAGGGGCTCCCACAGAGGGCTGGGAATGGCTCTAAGGACGTGGGTAGAATGGGAGGTGGCCAGTGGGAGGCTTCAAGCCCTGTGTCTTGATTATACCAGCACCTTCCGAATTAGGAAAGTAAGAGGCTGGAATAAGGAGAGAAAGAGCTTTCATTATTTCTGGAATAATTTGCTCACAATACAATTGTCACCTACCAATACTTTAATATATATCCGAGATTATGTATCAACATAAAACCAGAAATTTTCAAAAAAGAAAAACATGTACTGCTTAGTTTTTTTAATATTAGTTGGCAACCATAGAAGTTGAGGTTCCATTTTAGGCATCTATCTACCTACTTTTTCTTTTCGTTTTTAATTAATTAAAATCTTCAGATGTTAACTAGACTTATTATGACAATCATTTAGCAATATACAAATATTGAATCATAACACTGTACACCCGAAACTAATATAATGAACGCTATATGTCAATTATACCTCAATTTTAAAAATTTACACTCAT